ACTAAACGATTCGCCCTAAAAACTTCCAGCGGGTGCGGGCAGCAGACGAGCTAATGGGTGGCGTTGTCGGGCCGGGCGCCCGCCGCCGGCCCGAGGCGGCTATATGTGTAGACTTGAGTGGCGGCGGGCGCCTGGCCCGTGTCGGCTTACGGATCGGGCGTGTGGGGCAGTGTGTCGCGGGTTCCCTGGCGGTGATGACCATATCTTGTTATTGTTACGAGAGGTGTTCAAATTTAAGTGTTCCGCTTATGCCCCAATCCACTCATCATATTACTAGTATCAGTATTATACTCCTTAATGTCCATGATCGAAAATAAGCATCAATCAAATCAAGAGGACAAATATCGAGGGCCAAAATCCCGACAATGCAAAGAAATTGAAGAAATCAATGGAGGACCACTCATCGAGACCTGACAAAACTGAACTAGGAAGTCTGCGCAGAAAAAGAAAATGTGATCTTTGGCAGCCCCGGTGAATGACGAAAAGACAAAAGGGCAAAATGTTTTTGCCAAAGAAGCCTTCACTTCGATGACAACAAATGTAATGATGCTGTCTTCATATAAACTAAGCATAAATATGGCGCAAGCACATCAACTTATTTTCATCAATGGATCCTCCCGGTTCCTACTTAAAACAATGACAGCTTTAATTGATTAGTTTCATTCGATTCAAAAAACCATGCTCATGATACAGTGGAAGGGATGGGGTAATAATCCATGGTGAAGTATACCGGTAGCATCGAAATATGTTCGCCTTTTTAAACATTCTGAATGGAGACTTTTCAAGCGACGTACAAACTAATGACTATTACTACAGATAGTGCGACAGAAAATGTAATCCAAACCCATTCATTTAGGTTTTGTGCGGTGCGGACATCGCATTGTGCGGTATCAACAAAATTAACTCACAGTCTGATGCAAAACATGAAGCGGGAACTATTACATTCACACCTGGATACGGAAAACGCTACATATCCTGACATGAAATCCCACCCTTCCCCGCTGCAAGGCCACGACAGAGGCCTGGTATAAAACCACGCCAGTCTCCTTTCACAGCATCAGTCGACGAGACCAACTCTGCGGACATGAAGGTCAGTTCTCGAAGCTCTCATTCACGGCGTGTTCAAGAACGCACGAGCTTTATTAACGGCTCTCATTTGAGCTTTCATTCATAAATGTATACCACTGTGTTGCTTGTTCGTTGATGACATTGTAAGGCTGAGCGATATCGTACGGAGAAATACGAATGAAGGAACCGTAACCTATCATAATTTGTGTTCATGCAGGTGTTCATCGCTACCGCTCTGCTGGCTGTTGCCTCCGCCGCTCCTGCCAACACTACGCCCCAGCCGGCGTACTCCCATGGCCCGAGCTACCACCAGTCGTCCTACAAGGCCAGCCAACTACGACACACCCTACCAATTTGATTACGCTGTCAACGACCACTACTCCGGTGCCGTGTTCTCCCAGAACGAGAACAGCGACACCAAGAATGTCAACGGCTACTACTCGGTCAACCTGCCGGACGGCCGTACTCAGCATGTCAAGTACGTCGCTGGCCACGACGGCTACGGAGGCTACAACGCCGAGGTGACCTACACTGGG